CATTTTTTGCAGAAGTACTATCCAAGTGATGCTGTGTCCTTCTCAGTGCAGTTTATCGAAAGATGTTTATAGGTGATGTTAACTTTGATCACTGTCACTTGATTAATGAATATAGCAGACTTCCTCGTAGTAAAGTTACTATCTAAATTTTTTTTTTTACTTTAAAAATGGCATATCATTTATTTGAAATCATTAGGTCATTAAGAAAGCATGACATATTTTTCTATGTATTTTCAAAATGTGTCATGATTTACACAACAGCCCAATATATAAATAACTCATTCCTCAATAAACTCTCATTTGCTAATTTAGCATGATGATCCGTGGCTGAACTAATTGTTACTATAGTGGTCACAAAATAAAGTGAATTTTGGCCCAGCTTCGTGGTGCAGTTGAAAGCAAACTGAACTGCAGTGCTGAAGACCACATAGCCAACTGTGGGTTCAGATCTCTTGGTCATCCTGAAAACATACCAGGTGCTGGTGTGCATATCCAAGATCCTGATGAGCTGGAATGCTAGGGAAAGGGGATCGCACTGTGATGAGACCCTGCCAAGGGCATCTCTTTTGTGTGCGCACGTGCTCTCTCTCTCCTCTCTCTATGCACTTTATTTTTTCTTTTTAGCATTTATGCCATAGAATGCATAAGCTCACCAGAGAGAGAAAGAGAGAGGGGAAGTGAGAAATCCCTCCAGGGGCAATGGCCATGTTTTAATCCCTTCTCCTTTTAGGATTGTGGGCACACATGCATGTGTGCCTGGAGTGATTTTCAATCTACCAGGTCTGGTACTTGAACCATAATCAGCCATGTGGGAGTCCAGTGCTCCAACCACCACTTCACTTCCTGACTTCATGCATACACTTTTGTTGTGAATAAAATAGATAAACTTTAAGAAAAATAAAGTGAATTTTTAAGCTATTTTCTAGTGACATATGTAAGAACCGAGTGTGGTAGACATTTGTTGGTTGTCTGGATAGCATACTTTGCCACATTTTTCTCTTCAGAAAATTATCTGAAATTTGTCTATGCAGTCTATATATGTCTGGTACATCTGATCACTGTTTAGAGTGGGCTTTGATAGTTTAACTAGTGCATTCCATTTATTTAGCCACATCTGTTCTTTTAGGAGTGGAAATTTGACCTATACTGAGCCAATTTGAGTGAATTTTAGGACTATTGTTTGAGATAATAGATTAGGAGCACTCTGTTTACAGCTGGCACCCATTTTGTGACCATGAGGATAAAACTGATACCAGATGACAGAAGGGGAGAAATAGATACAAGTTGGGTCATTGATGAGGATTGTGAGTTGCTAAAGTAATTAGTCCTGCCCTACTTCTGTGGTTCCAGTTACTTAAGCTGATACAGTACATTTTGTGAACTGGCTTGAGTTGGGTTTTCTGTTAACTTTTGGCATAAAGAATCCTGATACTCCTAATAACAAAGAGTAATATAGGCTTTTTTTTTTCAACTTAGCATTAAAAACAAAAATGGTACAGAGGCTGTATATAACTTTTTCAACAACTAACAAAAAGAAAATAGGTATAGGGGTTTTTGTTTGCTCACTTGTTTATAGACTCGTGGCATAGACTACTAACAAGGTAAAAATTTGGGAATGTATCTCATGTTCCAGACGGTAGTTTTTGGTAGTAAAGTTTATTAGTCCTTCGTGTTGCCAATAAGAGAAATACCCAAGTCTGGGTTTATTTATAAGAAGAAAGGTTTTTTTAGCTTCCCTTTTGGAGATGTAAGGTCAAGGACTGCATCTGGTCAGGACTCCTGCTGGCTAATGACATGGCAAGGGAGCATCATACAGCAAGACAGAGCAAGAGCACATGTGTGGCTTTGTCTGTGTCTCCTTATAAACCCACAAGTATTCAGTCATGGACTGTACCCCCCATCCTCATCTCCCCAAAGGGTCCATCTGTCAACACCATAGTCAGATTAAGTTTCCATCCTCTTTCTCCCATTACAATGGCTCACCAAATCTCAACACATGAACCAGGAGGACACAAACCATAGCAGTTGCTAAGGTCGTGGAGAGGGGCTAGATTCATTTGGATTCACCTCTGTTTACCAAGCCAGCTTGAGTGAATTCTAATGGGGGGGGGCATCAAGTTCAAGAATGCTTGAGAGCAGTGAAGGAGCTGGGTATGGAAGCCAGCACTCTAAAGCCTTCAACACCCTCTTTCATCTTGACTTTTTCTGTTTCTCCTTCATTTCCAATCCCATCAGGCAATTTGAAAATACCTAGAGAGAAAGTATGGCTGTGTTAGTTTAGATGAGGCATATATTGTTACTTAATTCAGTTGTACTTACTGTACTATTTAGGCTACATATAGTTGTACTATAAAAATGGTTTCAGGACCAGCAGTTAGCATAATGGCTATGTCGCTGGACTCTCACGTGGTCGACTGCGGTTTGCGTCCCGGACCCGGTGGCTGAAAACTCACGCTGGGCGCGTGTGCGTGTGTGCCCAAGATCCCGAGAGGAGAATGGAGGAGAAAGGATTGCGGCGTGGCCATCCCCCCTGGGGGGTGATTTCTCACTTTCTGTCTCTCTGTCTCTCTGTCTGGTGAGCGCACGTGTCCTATAGCAAAAACCTCTCAAAAAAAAAAAAAAATGGTTTCAGAAGACTGCTGACCCCTGTGGGTAAGGAGAAGATTTCAGGCTATTGGTCAGGATGAGACTCTGAAGTTGGCTACTAGAGAAAGTTCGCTGGATGCCACAGCGAACAGAGGGCAGAGTGCCAGCAGGGAAAATTAGTCTGACACCTTTTTCTTCCCTCTCAGAATTCCTGCCCCTCAGGAATTGTGTACATTTCTCTCATTTGAATTCTTGCTAAAAGGACACCTCATTGGGACCCGCAGATGGTGTAATGGCTACGTCACTGGACTCCCATGTAGTCAGCTGCGGTTCGAGTCTCGGACCCAGTGGCTTAAACTCACACCAGGCATGTGTATGTGTGTCCAAGATCCTGAGAGGAGAATGAAGGAGAAGGGATTGTGGCATGACCATCCCCCCTGGGGGGGTGATTTCTCACTTTCTGTCTCTGTCTCTCTTTCTGGCAAGTGCATGTGCCCTATAGCAAAAACCTCCCCCACCAAAAAAAAAAAAGCCACCTCATAGTCTTCAGTTTGGGTTTTAGTCATTTCCAGAGTTTGTTTAGTTTGCTATAGGGCATGTGCACTTGCCAGGGAGAGGAAGACAGAGACATAGAAATTAAGAAATCATCCCCCAGGGGATGGCCATGCTGCATTCCCTTCTCTTCTCCTCCTGGGATTTTGAATATGGGTGCACAAGCACCCAACATGTTTTTCGAGCCACTAGATCTGGGACTTGAACAGTACCCACTCTAGCTGACCCTCCAGAGTGTTTTTATTCCACTAAGCCAGTGCTTTTCCAAGTGTTGTCCCTTTACCGGTTGCCTCAGCAACCTTGGAACTTGTTAGAACTTCAAATTCTGGGATCCTACCTCAGACCAACAGAGAGAAACTCTAGGGACAAAGCCTAGCAGTCTGTGTTTTAAACAGTTCTTGCTGCTGCACTTGAATTTTGAGAATCACTGCCATAGGGAATCATAACAACTCTCAGTGGCCAGAACCCAGGGTCTGTCTGCTTCCCAGGATCAGCCCCAGCCTGGGCACACTGGTACTGCTTGAATACAAAAACATGGCCAGGTGCTCCTCACCCACTGCTTCAAAAGATAACCCTTTCTCTGGCTTCTAAAGAGTAAAATAGATTTTTTTTAAAAAAATTTATATGTTGTGATTTTGGCCATGTGAGAGTCCAACACCTCAACTACCATACCACCTGCCAACCCCCAGTAAAACAGATTTTAGCAGCAGAAAGATTTCTGTCCACAATTCTGGAGCCTCCATCTCTTCCGGTTAGCCCTGAGCATAGAGAACCATGTGTCCAGCATTTTTTAGACATTTGTCCTTCCTGTGGGCAGATGTCTGAACATCTGTGAGGCCTCTTCAACTCCTTTATTCTAAGACTGTTCTTTATGCAAAGCTCTTCAGGAATACAACTGGTTCCTAAAGTGAGGTAAATGTGAATTAATTGCTATAGGACCTGGTAGGGTGTTTCCAGGAGCCTGCAGCCTCCTCTTCCCTCATCTCCCTATTCCTCTTTGCTCTTCTGTCCTTCTCTTCCCACTTCTTCCTTTGTCTCTTTCCTTCTATTTTCTGTTTCTTCTTCCTCTTCCTCCTTCCCTTCTTTTTCTCTTTGCCTTCCCTTTTCTCTGTCTTTATTCTGGCACTTTGCCCTGATGTTTAGTGTTTGCATATTTGTAATGTAAATCAGTGCTCCCTCTATGGCAGATTTCCAAGCTCCCCACCTGACACCATTGAGGAGCTGAGAGGAGACATGGTGTAGCCTCGCAGACCAGTCAGAGCTGTTCTAGCACAGTTAAGGAGTCTCCAAATAGGCCTGGCCAAATGCTCTACAACTGCCTTCCACTGTTGATGCAGGTGTTTGGGGGCTAGCCATTAATAAATGAATTTGAAATGTAAGATGTCTGTTCACACCTTAAGAGACTCATTTTATAGGACCACGATGGAAATAAAAGTAGTGGTGTTTAATAATTGCCACAACATTGCTTTTTCTTTTGATTAAATAAAATCCAGCCACAAGTACTGCCAAAGAAAGATAGCAGGCCTTTCAGTGATTGGTAAAAAGTTAGCCCCTTTTTACTTGCGAGTCTGAGCTTAAGGAAAGTATCATTGTGGATTGAAATCGCTTTCCAGATTATAACTACCATAACGTTTCAGTTAATATTTTGTTAAAAAGTAGAATATCAGCCAGTCACCTTATCTTTTTTATTTGCATTTTATATCATCTCTGGCTGATTTCTATTTTGAAGTAGTTTTGCATTACGTTTTATGATACATTTCTTCTTGCAACAGCTTTGCATACAGATGGAAATGTTGGGAATCTAGTTTAAGGCTGATCTTATTTTTTTTTTTTTCTTTCTGTTATGTGATTGATCTGGTCAGTGAACAAGAAATTCTTCGAGGCCATCCATCACTCCAGGCAGCAGCTGAGCTAAACCTTCTAACTCACCGCTTCCAGTCAGTCATGCAAGATTCGGGTTATAAATATTGAATGTGCAAACAACTGTTTAAATTAGCTGTCCTATCTGTTTTATGCAATTTCAGTAGAAAAGCAAGCTGATATATTGTTTAGTGGCAAGAAGTAGAAGACAGTGAATTCAGTATTATTCTTCTGTACGTCACTGAATTCATCCTATTGGCAAATATTTAAAATAGTTAGATCAAATTAATTCTTACTCCCTTAAGTTAAATTAGAAGTAAGGCAACTGAGCATGTAATTTATGTGGTTTTTTTTTTTGTTTTTATATTCAAACAGTGGGAAGATTGTTAGTAATTGTAAATGTAGCCATCTGTCATAAATATAGTAGCCAATTGTTAAATGCTTAGTTCTGTGAATTTTGTTACCCCTTTGCAGTAACAAAAATAGCTTAATATTTGGAAAATATTTAGGCAGAAAGGAAAATAGCAGCTGGCTTATTCTACCATTCCTGGTAAGCATCTAGAATATTGAGTATGTGCAGGTGTTAGTACTTATGCTACTTGGAGTTGTAACAAGTGTGCATATACTTTCACTAGTGTTGATATATGTAACAGATAACATGCCAGCCTTTTGTAGTAACTCCTAAAAGCCTTTTTGTGTATAATGAATTTAGGTAAACTTCCAAAATTGCTGTCTGTGTTTTAAATTTATTCTTCAAATTATATTATGCTGGGAACATCTTTTCAAGTAGAAGACATGTATCTAAGCCTACGTTAACGGCATAAATTGCCTGATTACTAAAGAGACAATTATTTGTCTTCCTTTATGGGCAAGCTGGGTGTTCTGTGGCATGTGTCTTATGGTAGTTGGATTGGAATCTAACAGAAAAGTTGGGCAAGATTTTATATTTTCTGTGGCAAACACTGCTAATTGCTTACCTGTATCTGTTCCTCACTTCTTTCTAGAACAGAGTTTTGGACAGGGTAACAATGAGCCAAGTTAAGCAGACTCACCTTTCCTAGACTCCTCAATGACTAGAGAAGGCCATGTAACCTGGTTCTGGCCAATGAAGCACAAGGGGAAATCTCTAGATGGGACTCCTAGGGGAGCTTTTTTAAAAGGACCAACTCAGCTTGCACTTTCATCCCTAAGTCCTTTGGGCACTTTGCTCTTTCCTCTTTTCTTCCTGAAATATGAACATGTATATGGAAGTACAGCAGCCTTCTTGAAAGTATAAGTGCAAAAACTGAGAATGACATAGTGGAAAGATAGAGACAAACCTGGGTCCCTACTAGTATCATTGAGCCACTAACCTGCTCTGAACTGTCTACCCCTGGGCTTTAGTGAGTAAACAGTATTCTTATTTAAGCTACTGTTTGTCGGGGGATACCTGTAGCCTAACACATTCCTAACCAGTACACTTCTCTTTCTTGATTAATACCTAAGTCTTATGAAATTGCACATTATGTGTTTTTTAAAAAACATGGTTTACTGGGACCACTAGGTGGTGTAATGGTTAAATTGCTGGACTCCCATATAGTTGACCATGGTTTGAGTCCCAGACCTGGCAGCTTAAAACTCATGCTGGGCACATGTGCATGCATGCCCAAAATCCTAAGTGGAGAATGGAGGAGAAGGGATTGTGGCATGGTCAACCCTGCTGGGGGGGTGATATCTCACTTTCTGCCTGTCTCTGGCTCTCCAATGAGTGCACGCACCCTATAGCAAAAATCTCTCTAAAACAAACAGCCAACCAAAAAATAACATAAACATGGTCTACTTTGGAATTATAAAAATAAACTTTTACTTATGTTCTTATATGGAAATAAATTGAACCAGCATTGCTGTATTAATAAACCTCATTATTTACAAATAGAAGAACAGTATTGATGGATAATTTTAGTGATAAAACTTGCAGCCACAGGGAAAAAAAAAAGCCAGTGATTTTTTTTTTATCTCAGCTCTCTAATTTTATTTCTCTTTTTAATTTCTACTCCCTTTTCCTTGATCAATTCCCTTCTCTTCTTACCTTCAAGTGTTCATAATTCAGTGGAAGGGACCAACTAATAAACAGTTATAATATAGTATTACAAGTTGTAGAAATATTTGTCAGAAATGTAAATTTGGTTTTATTATTTCCTTGGTTTAAAAGCCTTCCGTGCTCTTTGATGTGGTATTTAAGGCCTTTTCATTCTTGCTCCAATTGTCTTGTCCAATCTCATCTGCTGCCCCACTTCTGTTCTTTCTCTCAGCATATTCCCTTGGCCCTGTGCTATTTAAAACCTCTGCACTGTTGATATATCATGCAACTGTCTCATTCTTTCATATCCTTGCTATCCTTTCACTTCTGTGCCTTTTCTCTTCTCCATCTGTGAAATCCCATTCATTCTTTGAACTCAGTTAAAGCATCTTTCTAAAGTTTTCCCTGAGCCTCCCAGGTTAAATGAACAACTACCTCTTCTTCTGTGCTTCCCATCTTATTATGTTAATTCTCCTATGATAGTATATTTTTTGTTAATTTATAGTTATGCACAGTTACGTCTTTTCTGGTAGACTGACTTCCGTGAAGTAATGTGTTATGCTTTATTTTGCAGCTTCATTATTTCAGTCAGTGTCTGGAAAGGAATAAATACTCAAAATTTTTATATGTTTTTTATAACAAGAAAATTTAAAAATTAAACTCTTTGCACCTCTCATTGAATACTAATGTTTTTCTGTTTATTAAATGTATCCTTGTAAAGGAAATGCTGCTGGTGATTTAAAAACAGCGACCAATTACCCAACAAATAATTGTCCATCTGGGTCATATCTGCATCTGATTTTATTGAACCAAGACTGTGGTTTTCTTCTTTGTATGTCTTTTATTTTTAGATTATGTTCTACACATTGTGTACAGAGAAAAGTAATGCTCAAAATAAATACCACCTTCAGGAAAGAGCTACACATCTCTTTTAGGATAATAGAGGAAGGGCTGGTTGGGCTGGGTCTGAGATTTGTTGTAGCTTCAGTTTGATTTGGGTCATTACTAGCTTCACTTGTATGGATGGCAAAGCTGCATCTTTCCCTTTATCAGGCAAGGGCTCTGACTGTGGGCAAGACTTGGCAATTTACAGATGAATGGCAGCTTTCACAACTGTGGGGATCTTCTTTTGTTTTATGGTATAAATGGCCAGGTCTTTGAGCCACTACAGAGTGTATTCCTACTTCTGACTTTCTGTGTCTTGGAAGATCTTTTCTTCTCCTGATGCCTGACCCATGCCTCCTGAGTAAGAAGGCTATTTTGTGAAGGTCTGGAATACCTTGGAGAGACATCTTTCAGCTCTTCTGACTACCTCAAGCCTCCCTCTGGTAGCTGAAATCCCCAAATGCCTCAGATTGATATCCCTCCACCTCCTGTTTCACTTTCTACATTCAGTATAGTACCCTAATACTTGAAGATTCGTGAGGAAAAAGTTAGCAGACAGGTGCAGACTTGTTTCATAGTGCGGACCTCTTGGAATTCAAATTCATTTCTGTAGGCAGTATGCAGCCGTTAAAAGGTAGGTTGGTTTTCCCTTACCTGTACCCATAGTTGATCTCTTGTTTTTCTTCTGCCCCACTAGAAATAAGAATAACCATGGGTCTCTCCTCTACCGTGAAGAGCTCATTCACTTCTGGAATTTAGTTTATTTAAAATTGCTTTCTGATAGGTTTTTAAAAAATATTTATAGTTTGTTAGGCTTGTTTTGGTAACTGGGATGAAAGTAGCAGTCCTTTGCCACTTTCTACATTCTAGCTTCCCCCTTCCTCTCTTTTCCATCCATTCATCCATCAGTACAGCTATCCTTCCATCTGTGTATATGTCCATATAAACGTGTATATACATATATACAATATATTAAATATGTATAAACACATATAGATGGATTTTTAAAAATATTTTCATTGACAAGTGACATCTTCTAGGTTATTTCCTTTCCTCTATATCTCCAAATTACCAAAAAGTATTTATGTATTATATCTGTAGTTCATAGTGTTCAGACTATAGTTCCAACTCTCCTAAAGAAATAGGAGATTCTTGTCCCTGAAAACTACATTTGTTTTCACTTGATTCTGTGTGTCTAGAATATTTTGCAGATGAGAATTTACTACCACATATTGTCTTTTAGGCCTCATCACATCTGAAAATGAGAGTAATCAATACTTAAATTTGATTAGTTCACAAATAATGAAATCTCTATTGACCACCAAAGAAGATTAAGACTCAGATGATGAAAACACTTAATTACGTTAATGCATTGAAACTTTTATGACACTAAGAGCTAATGATAGTTCTATGGCAGTTATTGTCTTTCTAGAAATATAATGGTGGGATACTAAATAAGATGGTATTTTCTCACATCTGTTTAATTTATATAAAGTGATATAAAAATGACCGAATATAAACATTTATATAAAAATTATTTGCGTATAAAAATTATTTGACAGCAAAATTCACATGTAATGTAGTTTAAATATGTCAATAGAATGGTATTTGCCACATTACACAGTATTATATAAGATGATTTTACCTGGAACCTGTCTGTATCAGTTTTTCCTACATAGCAAAGATTAAGTGGCTTGGGGCCAGCAGCAGGTGGTGGTGTAGTTAAGGCACTGGACTCCCACATGGCTGACCATGGTTTGAGTCTTGAACCCAGTGGCTTGAAACACATTGGGTGTGTGTGCATGTATTCCCCAAATCCTCAGGAGACTAGAAGGGAAGGGATTGCTGCATGGCCATCACCTCATGGGATGAATTCTCACTTTCCCTCTCTCTGTCTCTCTTTGGTGAATACACACACCCTGTGGCAAAAACCTAAATAATAATGATAATTTTAAAAAAAAAGATTAAGTGGCTTAACAGTATCATTTCTCATACATCTGTTGGATAGGTTGGAATTGGCTGATCTTGCCTGAGCTTAGCTAAGTAAATATGCTGAGTGGACTTGTTTCCTCACTAAATTTTGGGCTAATGTCTGCTCTATAGTGTTCATTCTAGGGCCCAAGCTGAAGAAAC